CCCATCCAAACAAAGGAGGATGAAAATGGACACATCGTAACTTTATAATGGAGACCTGAAAAACACCACCTCAACCAAATGATCAAGTTGAACATCACCAGTGACAAACTATGTTAATTGTATATAATCCCTGATGTGCCATGCCACCATTAGATGAGATATTCTAAACACCTATAAATCCAGTCTAACCATGAGAAAAACATCAGAGCCTTAACTTAAGAGATAGTCTAAAAAAATATGGACCAGTTCTCCTCAAACCTTCTAAAGTCATGAAAAACTAGAGAAGGCTGAGAAACTTTAACAGAGGAGAATAGGGAGATATGACGACTAAATACAATGTAGTATTCTGGATTGGATCCTGGAAGAGAAAAAAGACATTGGTTTAAAACTGGCAAAATGCAAATTTAGCTCATAGTAACGTATGCCAATGTTGGTTTCTTTTGTAAAACATACCATAGTAATGTAAGACGTTAACATCAACAGAAACTGTAATAAATATTGGACGTATGAGGACTCTTCGTTCTATCTTTGCCACATTTCTGCAGGCATAAATTTATTGCAAAATAAAAATTGACCTTAAGAATTGCAACTATTTATCATTTAATTACATAGTGTTACCTGAAATTATTTACTATGTTTGAGTTAATATGAAATTTTTCTTTGAACGTCTGGCTCCTTTGGTGATTTCAAAAGCAATAAAACTCCTCCATAAACAACAAATTCATGTCTTTGGCCTGCAAATTGCTACTACTATATGGATTTAAGGTTGATAATAGATTCTTCCATAACTATTGCATCTTAAAACTGGAAACGCAAGAGAAAATCCTAAAACCTGTTTTTGAATAGAGCCAATTGGCATCAAGATTTAATGAGAATCTACTTCAAACATCACCAAAATCCATTCAATTTGATCTCAGAAAGGAAATGTCTATTTAATGCTGGATTCCTACTGCAGTTTTTAAATATCAACTGACACATTTTTGTGTTTCCCTCTGTCTCCTCAAGTTATTTCAGTGTGTAACTGAAAATATTTTAATATGCTAATCTTTCTACATAAGCATTACCACATCTCAAATTATCATATTTGTCCTAGGATGTAAGGTATATTCCACATTAACAACATGGCTTCAGATGTTTGCAATAAATGAAACAGTTTTCTAGCTTCACTTCCAGGCAACTATACATTCCACCTCAGTTTTTTGAAGGGGCATATGAAATGCTATGCCATTTCTACTGAACTGTCCTTAAGACCCTGGGTACAGTTAAATCATAGGAAAGTTTAATGTATTATATTAAAAGATACAAAGTAACAGACATTTTCAGTATCTCTACATTATTTCAGGAATTACTTAGTGGACTCTGATTTTCTCCACAATGACTCTTAATAAATATAAGAGTACTTGTAAAAATTACATAAGATTTCAGTTACTGTGGCTATTATTTTTTATTTAATATTAAAGCAAAGTCTCTGTGTAACTCAGAACTCTATGTGCGAGACTGGCTTACAAATGTGCTTAAGAATCTGGGAAGCATGAGTACATCAATCTGTGAACACAGTGAAAAATACACAATTTATATTTTTCTGATGAGATCAGGAAATTGTACATTTCTTCCAGTGCACAAAAAGAAGAGCTTGCATACACAAGGGTCACTAGTTGAGAGAATAAAGGAACTGACAGTTGGGAAACATGCACTAATTGAGGCAGGTGTCTTCACCAGCCACTTAGCAGTCTTATAAAAAAAAAATAAAAATAAAAGTAAATGATGACAGAGAAGGTATAAAAAGAGACAAAAGTGCTAACCAGGATAAGGATGCTGTGGGTGGCTCTAATCTCAGGAGAGGTGCTGGGAGTTCACAACTCTGCCAACAAAATGGGTCCCAGGGAGGATTCTCGCAAGAGATTTGGAAATAGAGAGGGGCACAAAGTGTAGCTTAAAGTGATAGGGAAGTCAAGGGTCCTCCCGCATTCCCGTGAGCCAGGAGGTACAGGCTGCAGTCCCGCATCAGTATTTATTGGTACAGCAATTAGCTGTAACTGGTTACAGATTTATGTGTACAGATCATTCATTTAGGTTTCAAGGCTCCTCAAAGGCTTCAAGAGATCCGTTACCTAATTCTACCTACGAGAGCAAACAGCTACAAAATATTTTGAAGATAAACATTTTCAACCCTAATTAAGAAACAGACCTAGCAGAGCGTACAAGCTAAAGATAACGTCATTAATCAAGCAGTAACACATAAAAAGGGACACTAGGCCTGCATACGTCTCTAATCTATTTCTCTATATAATGAGACATGTGGTCAGGAGTGAAACAGGAACTGTTCTTGAGGCGAATTGGTTTTTGCTGCAGGTGTCTACTGGGTGGACATCCTTTGATCAGTCTCTTAGATTTTGGACCCATGCCACGCTCTGCCTTGCATAAGCTTTAGGTGCTGGCTTGCAGGCCTTAGACTGGCAATACCTTGCGGTCGCCCCTGATCAGTGGAACATCTCCCTTGTTGCTAAGCACCTTCTGGTCTGTGAGCTAACACGCCCACAAATTCCTTCAAGACAAAAGTCCTGCAAAACTCCTGAAACTTTCCATGTCTCTTAACCCCATTTCCCAACAACTTCCCTTTTCTTTCTAGAAGTTCATGAAGTTGGATAGTCACCATGCGAGGCACTGGTCTCCAGGGTCTTGTCTTTTTCGGAGTTTTTTCCAGACTATAAGTACAAGCAAATGACCAAAATAATTTGAAAAGTTACTATAGTGGAACTCCCATAGATCTTAAGATGAGAAAGTGGGTTAGCTGACTCCATTCGAGATCAAATACCGTTAACGTCAGCCTTAGAGAGTAGATCAAGTTTGTGACTGAAAGTACTTAATATTGCTTGTTGTAAATTTCCAATCTCTTCAGTCAGATTTCCTTGATTAAGTACATGTTTCTTAATGTTTTCCCAAGGAAACTGAGTCTGATTATGTATGTGAGGTATAACACAAAATTGAGTGATACTCCAATTGCAACGGAGTCTAATTTGCTTTCGTAGGCTTACAACCTGCTCTCCCAGTAAGGTGACCGCTTGTTGTAAGTCACTCACCTGAGTAGCCAATTTGTTGATCTGCTCTGTATTACGGTCACTTGATTGAGCTTTGTCTTCCTTAACCTATGGTGCCCTCCGGTCAGAAGAGAACCTTGAATACAATGAGCAAGATGAGTGACATACTTTTATGTTATTCTCTGCCCCTCCCAAATGCTAATTGAGATGGTATTTAATATTCAAAGGAAGCATCCTTCTTCTTTTAGGAAGGTGGATGGAAGGGATCCTCACCCTTAAAGCAGGACCTGCCATGCAATCGATTCTTTCCCACACACCACAATGAAAGGCTTGTGAAAAGGGCATAATAGTAAGAATTTAAAGTTCAAGTTGAATGTTACGTATAGTACAGTAGCCTTTTCAAGAATCCTCAAATAAATGAATAAAATATTTAGTAACTTCAAGGTATTTGGCCATCTGCAAACATCCTGGCACCTTTGATATATATCATACCATAAGTTTTAACATATTTGGACTTAGAATTATTTTACAGTATGCAATATCAAAGGTTAATCATGGAGAATTAAGAGATCGACTCATTCCTCATACAAATCCTCACCTAAATTTAAGGACCCTGGGTAATAGCCTCAACATACACTTTACATTTGTGTGCTTTTATCAAAGATGTGTATTTTGATGCCCAGTGGGTTGTGAGGCACGAAAAAAGCCTCTTCCACATACAATCATATAATTGTTCTTTAGCGTGGGCTCTCCAGTGTTAATGCTTGAACTCATGAGGAGTTGGCCATAGTCTGCATTTGTAAGGATTCTCTTGAGAATGAATTCTCTAATGTCATACAAGGGGTGAATTTGTGACTGAAGACCTTGTCACACTCATTTGTATGGTTTCTATCAAGTATGAATTTTGTGATGCCTTGCAAGCTTTGATCGTTCACTGAAGAGCTTGCCACAGTCTTTACATCTGTAAGGTTTCTCGCCAGTATGAATTCTTTGATGATTCGCGAGTTGTGAACGTTGAGTGAAAACCTGCCACACTCATTCCATTTGTAAGGTTTTACTCCGATATGGATTGCCTGATGTGTAGTTAGGCCTGAATGCAATCTAAAGCTTTTCCCATTCATTACACTTGTGAGGTTTCTCTCCATTATGAATTCTTTAATGACATGAAAGGTGTGTACTTCATGTGAAGAGCTTGCCACACTCATTATATTTGTAAGGTTTTTCTCTAGTATTGTGCTGTGAGTTAGCTACTCTCCCAACCAACGGGTCCCAGGCAGGATTGTCAAAAGAGATTTGGAAACAACAGAGACAGAGACAAAGTATAGTTTAAAGCGATGGGGAAGTCAAGGGTACTCCAGCATTCCCATGAGCCAGGATGCACCGAGTGAAGTTCCACATCAGTATTAACTGGTAAGGCAAGCAGTTGTCCTTGGTCATAGAATGATGTGTACAGATTATTCATTTAGGTTTCAAAGACCCCCAAAGGCTTCAAGAGATCCCTTACCTAATTCTATCTACAAGAGTAAACGGTAACAAAATTTTTCCAAGATAAACATTTTAAGCCCTAAGTTAAGAAGAGACCTGAGTATACAAGTTAAAGATATAATCGCTAATTAAACAGTAACGCATAAAACAGGAACATTGAGCCTGCATACTTCCCTGAATTATTTCTCTATGTAACGAGACATGTGGTCAGGAGTGAACAGGAATAGCCTTCAAGTTAATGATAGTTCCAACTGCAGGTTGTCTGCTGGGCTGATATCCCCTCTTGAGATCTCTTAACCTTGGGCCCCATGCCGAGCTCTGCCTTGCACAAGCTCCAGGCGCTGGCTTCCAGGCTTCGAGATTGGTGCCGCCTTGCAGTCGCCCCTGATCAGTGGAATCCCCCACTTCATGCTAAGCAGCTTCTGGTTTGTGAACTAATACATCCACAGATTCCTTCAACGCAAAGCCCTGCAAAACCATGTCTCTTAACTCTATTTCCCAACAATATGGACTGCCTGATGCACACTTAGGAATGTACGCAGTCTAAAGGCTTTTTCCGCACTCATTACACTTGTAAGGTTTCTCTCCACTGTGAATACTTTGATGACTAACAAGCCGTGACTGTTGAGCGAAGGCCTTGCCACACTGATTACATCTGTTAGGTCATTCTCCAGTATGCGTTCTCCTGTGACGTGCAAGGCATGCATTTTTAGTGAAGACTTTGCCACATTGATAACACTTGTAAGGTTTCTCTGCATTGTGAATACTTTGATGCCTACCAAGGTCCCAATTTTGACAGAAGGCCTTGCCACACTCATTACATCTGTAAGGTTTTTCTCCAGCATGCCTTCTCCTGTGACGTGCAAGGTATGTATTTCGAGTGAAGGCTTTGCCACACTCATTACATCTGTAAGGTTTTTCTCCAGTGTGCGTTCTCCTGTGACATGCAAGCTGTGAATGTTGAGTGAAGGACTTGTCACACTCATTACATCTGTAAGGTTTCTCTCCAGTATGGATCATCTGATGGGTAGTCAGGCTTGAATAAAGACTAAAGGCTTTGCCACACTCATCACACCTGTAAGGTTTCTCTCCATCGTGAATACTTTGATGCCTAAGAAAGTGCCAACTTTGAGTGAAGGTCTTGCCACACTCATTACATCTGTAAAGGTTTTCTCCAGTATGCCTTCTCCTATGACGTGCAAGGTATCTATTTTGAGCGAAGACCATGCCACACTCACTACATTTGTAAGGTTTTTCTCCAGTATGGATTGCCTGGTGGAGAGTTAGTCCTGAACGTAGACTAAAGGCTTTGCCGCACTCATTACACTGGTAAGGTTTCTCTCCAGTGTGCGTTCTCCTGTGACATGCAAGGTGTGAATGTTGAGTGAAGCCCTTGCCACACTGATTACATTTGTAAGGTTTTTCTCCGGTATGCGTTCTCCTGTGATATAGAAGCTGTGAAGCTCGAGTGAAGACCTTGCTACAGTCATTACATTTGTAAAGATTTTCTCCGGTATGCGTTCTCCTGTGATATACAAGCCGTGAAGTTCGAGCGAAGGCCTTGCCACACTCATTACATTTGTAAGGTTTCTCTCCAGTATGAATTCTCTGATGACATGTAAGATGTAAATTTTCAGTAAACACCTTGCCACGTTCAGTACATTTGTAAGGTTTGCCACCATTGTTTACTTTTTGTCCTTCTGTGAGTGATGAAGAAAACATGAAATGATTTTCATCTTTTTTAGAAATGTGGGTTTTGCCACTAGAAGGAATTTCTAGAAGTGGTGAAACTGAGGAACCATGGTTGATAGACTTGACTTGATTACATTCGTCAACTTTCCTTTTACTTTGAAGTAGCTGCAGTTGAGGCACGTGTGACTTAAAGATTACTCCACACTGACTTTTAATAAGCTTGTTTCCTGCATCCCTGCCATCATGTTGATCTCCTCTACCAGTGAGATTTTCTTTCTGGGTCATAAGCTCTGCTTTGTAACTTCTTTCATCATCTCCCCATTGACATTCAAAGTCATGTATATTTTTCTGGACTTCCCTAAAGGAAAAGTCTTCAATGTCATGGCTTTCAGGTCTTTCCAATGTCACTGTTTGGAATACTTCTCCTGCATTGCTCTTCTCTTTTGGTGGTATATCTTTTATTACAAATTCAGGAGAGAGATCTACAAGATATAAAGAACCGTAAGTTTCCAATTAAGTACATCATGTAAACAAACATTTAACATTGATAATATTACACCAAAAAGAATACTGATATAAACATACTTATCAAACTTCACAAAGATAAAATTCAATTTTTAGGAACACAAAAGGAATAGTATTGTTTAATAAAGAAAAGGTGATTATATGTGATCCAAATTAATATTGTAGAAGTCTAGTTTCAAAGCACCTATAACTAAAACACAATGTGCAAACCTACGTTAGCCTTGAAAGCAGTGACCCCAAGATATACACCAATTGACAAAAAACATACAGCTATCTCACAATCGAAATGAAAATAAGTTATATTGCGTAATACATACTTAGAAACTATCATCTATAAATCCTAACAAAAAGTAATTAGTAAAACACCCTAGTAACCCATTATAAAACAAGCAGACAAAGAATTAGTAACCACATCTATAAAAACCCATAGTCTGTGGAAACAGGAATCATTTTCTCTTAAGAAAAAAGCAAGGACAAACATTTTAGAACCAGCACACAGTATAAGACCTGGAATACGAGTTTTTAAAATTTTTATTATATATTGACAAATTATAATTGTATATATTTGCAGGGAACAAAGTAATATCATGATATACCTATGTAATGTGGAATGATGGAATCAATCATCTATCCATCACTACCAAACTTATCATTTACTCTTGCTGTTGACTTGAAACTTTGTACCCATTGACCAACCTATTCCTCATCCTCCAGCCTCTGATAACCAACACTCTACTCCAATTGCATTCCACATATAAATGAAAACATCCAATACTTCTATTTCTGTGCCTGGTTCCTTCAGTTAGCAAAATGTCCTCCATGTTGATCCACATGTGAGAAACTGAACTTTCTTCTTTTGAAGGCTGAGTAGTACTCCACTCTGTAGTGTACACCGCATTTTCTGTATCTATTCATTTGCTAATGGACACTTAGTTTGACGATATAACTTTGCTGTATGAATAATGCAATGGTAAACACAAACTACAGACATCTTAGACATACAGATTCCAAATTCTTTGGATTTATACCCAAAAGTGAGATTGTAGAATCATATAGTAATACTATTTTTAGTTTTTAGAGGAAACTCCATATATTTTTCCATAATGCCCATACTAATTTACATTGTCACCAACAGTATAGAAGTGTTTCCTCTTCTCTGTATCCTCATGAACATGTCTCAGCAATAGCCATTATGACAGGTGTGCAGTGGTATCTCATTGTGGTTTAAATTTGTATTTTCATAATGATTATTGATGTTGAGTCTTTTTAATATATCTATTGTTCATATGCATGTTTTCTTTCAAGAAATGTCTACTCAGGTCCCCTTACCATTTTTTAATTGGGTTGTTTCTTTTCATGCCATTGAGTTGTTTCAGTTTCTTACATATTTTGGATATTAATTTCCTACCTGATGTATGGCTTGCAAATCTTTTCTAACAATGCAAAGTTTCTCTTAATTGTTTCCTTTGCTGTGAAGAGACACTTTTGTTTGGTGCAATTCCAGTCGTCTGTATTTGCTTCTGTTGCCTGAGCTTTTGGGGTCAAAGCTAAAAAAAAATGATTGCTAAGACCAATGTCATGTAGGTTTTTTCCCTGTGATTTCTTCTAGTAGTTGTATTTATACAAGGGCTGTTAGAAAGTATCCAGCTATTGTTAATACTATTTTTCACATTACATGGCTGGATACTTTCTGGACAGCCCTTGCATATGATGTGAGATAAGGGTCCAGTTTCATTCTTCTGCATGTGGAATCATTTTTGCAGTATTATGTATAGAGAGACTGTCCTTTTTCCTTTGTGTGTTCTTGGCATCTTTGGCAAAAATCCATTGACCATATATGTATGGTTCATTTCTCTTCTTTATTCTGCTTCACTAATCAATGTGTCTATTTTTAGGCTACTACAATCATGCTTTAATTACTATACTTTTGTAATATAGTTTCAAATCAGGTACAATGATAACTCTAAGTTTGTTCTTTATGCTCTAAATTGCTTGAATATATGAACTGCTGATTAAATAAAATTTTAAAAAGTTGATTTGTAATACATAAAACTATACAAGACGAAAGCTGAACTGGCTTAAACAAACTATGGTAGAATTAAAATATGGAGACATCATTTACCTTCATAAGCTCCCTCAAGAAGATGTATCAAAACCATGTCTGTTACAGGTATGAACCAACAACAAAATGACAAAGTTTTTGTTGGTGAAAATGAATAGTGACACATACAGGGGATGAAAACGTGACATGAACAACAGTTTACACATGAGTCAGTGGCCTTAAACAATGTTCTCCCTGGAAGAAATTCCTACAACATTGACTGCTGGCTGAAAGGAGATGATCATTAATATATGTCATCAGCATTGTCACAGTGACACTTTTGTGACGCTTCTCAAAAACTAGGCAAACAATAGGAAATACTTATCAGTCAGGCTCTCCTGATACTTTTTATCTCAGGATCTTGGGCCAGCTCTACTCAGTGGCTTCAAAGGCATCTTCACATGTAGCAGGATGATATTCAATCACATTAGTTAAAGTGTTCTCCTTCATCAATTTTATGTTATGCAGTAAACCCACCCCATGGGATACTCCACAAGAAGTTATGCATAACCGAAAGGTGGATTATCCCAACAAGTCAGCCCTGAGGCTATCATCTCAGTCAAGCAATGCAGGGGTTAACAAGAGACGCACAAGAGAAACTGCAAAGATACATGAGGGCAGACAGATCCTGACTTCTATAGGAACGTGCATGTTAAAAGTCGGTTTCAGAAAGAAAATCACACAGACTAAGAGAGTACAAAATCAGGCAGAGCCGAGGTTCCCTACATTCACTGAGTAGTAACAGCAGCGGAAAAGAGAAAAATATAATGCATGGGCATCAGATTTTGTGGCATCTTGAGACTGGACTCCATGTTCTGCCAACAGAGCCGACACAAAGAGACGGAAAGAATAGGATCTGCACCCACGTAGGACTGGAAATCAAAGAGAGGATGTTTCTATTGACTTTTTGCCTACTGAGTGACAACCTCAGAAGATCCAACTCACTCTTTTGTCATATACACCCGTGAAGTGTGGCAAAAATGGCTGAGGGACCTCACCAGGCAGAAAGGGCTTCAGAAAACTCCAGGAAGTTTCTGGAGATCCAGATGCGAAGGAAGACCAGACAATGTTTCCCATGTCCTGACTGGGTCTTCCAAGCACATGAAATGGGATGGAACATGGAGAGGTCCAGTCATCAGGACTATGACGGCCTCAGCTCTGATCAACATGGACTGAGAACTTAGCATCAGATGGAATCAACTGCAGAAGGAAAGACCAAGGGGGAAAGCAACCCTTCTGAAACAGCCTTTCCTGTGCTGCTCAAGTGTCAACGACAAAAGAGTTCATGAAGTCAGATAACGCAGTGTTGTCCACAAAAGGACTTTCCATTTGTTTCCTTTTGAGCGGAAGCATCACTGGAGGGTACAAGGATGAAGTGTTACATATGTGAGGAACAGAGTGAGAAGTTAAGGAAAAGAAAAATGTCCTTCCAGAGCTCACAGGACATAAACTTTTGTTTTCCCGTAGAACCCTTAGATTTGCATAGAGTTTCCCAAACACTATTTAGTGAACAGCTTTCTCTGTATCCATCTGAGCACTAACCTGTGATCGCTGCTTTGATCCATTTCCATCCATCTGATTTTCTTGCTATTTGCACCTGGCTCTCCACAGTCCAGGGCTCTTTCCCTTGCTCCAACGTGGAGATAATACTCAAGTCAAAAGGAGAAATTCCTGCTTATAGAAAGAAAGAAAATACCTACTATGGCTTTTCCAGAATCCCAGCCCTATGTTTAGGTAAGGAGAAAGCATTTTCCAGATGGATATACACATATATGTCAGAAATCCATCCTATGAATGCCTCCTTCTGAATGCTCAGGGAATATTGTAACATGGAGACATTTAGTTGTCTTTGATGAACCAATGAATCAAAGCACCGCAGTAAAAAACAGGAAATTGGATATTTTAAACATCTGCAACAAGGTTTTACGCATACATAAGCTCTGGAACCATCCAATTATACATCATCAAAGGGGAGAACATCTGAAGAAAGGGGGCAGTTAAAGTCCAGATACCCCATTATAAAGCTTTTCATTTCTGAATCAACAGGGCTTCGATCTCAGTCAAGCAATGCAGGGGCTAACCAGAGACTCACAAGAGAAAATGCAAAGATACACAAGAGGACATCCTGACTTCTAAAAGCAAGTTATCCTCACCCAGGGAGACCAGGTTGCTGTAGTTCTCCAACATCACTGCCTTGTATAAAGCCCTCTGAGCAGGATCCAGGCATTTCCACTCCTCCAGAGAGAATTCTATGGCCACATCCCTGAATGTCAACCGTCCCTAAAATGAAAAACACATTTCACCAAGTGGCTATTAGGAGAGTTCTAATCTTCACATAATATGAGGAGAGAACTCTAAAGAGATTGGATTGAAGTAAATGGGCTGACAGATCCATGTTGTGATACTGGGAAATATTAATATATGTGGTCATCTACTTCCTCCTGACATACAGCTCACTTGACATCTCTGGACAGTATCTTTTTGTATTTTAATCAGATAAGTGGTGGCCAGAGGCCCCTACATAGCTTCAGGCTGGGGGCTGGTCACTGGAAATATAGAGTTCTGCCTCTTACACTCATTAATTGTGATAACAACTTAGATAAGGATGTTGACTGCAGAAAGAATACTATTTGTAAAGAGCAATAAATAAGAAACTCTTGGGTGATATCATTTTCCCTGCAGCCTAGTGTGCCTACTATGTTGAAAACCTTTGTTCTCAAAGCAGTGTATTGATGAGATAATAGTAGTTCCATGTTTTAACAGGGAACCTTTAATATAATCTCTTAACCCTTTTAAATGGACGCACACAGTGCTGTTTTCTCCTTGGCTCAAAGCTGAGTACTCTCGCCTCATTTTAATACTATTTTAGGCAATTCCTATGACAATTAGACCAACAAGTTTCCTCAAACAACCGAAGCTCATCGATAGCTGCTTCTCTATGGGAGGTATGCACTTCAGGCTGAGGTCTTCACGCAGAGCAAAGCCCTCCCCTCTTCCTTTGGGGACTTGCAGTGAATAGAGGAGCACAATTTGGGAGCTACCTGTGAGCTGGTGTTTTGGAACTAGAACAAGACAAGGATGCCCACTGTCACCACTTTTACTCAACAGAGTGCTGGAAGTCCTATCCAGAGCAATCAGGCAAGAGAAGGAACCTAAGGGTGTCCAAATGGGGAAAAAGGAGGTCAAACGATCACTCTTTCCTGACGATATGATCTTCTATCTAGAAAACTCCAAAGATTCTGCCAAGAGACTCCGGGAATTCATAAATCAATTTGGCAAAGTCTCAGGTTACAAAATCAATGTACACAAATCAGTAGTATGTCCACACAGCAACAATCAAGCTGAGAATCAAATCAAAGACTCAATACCTTTCACAACGGCAACAAAGAAAATTAAATACCCAGGAATATGTCTAACGAAGTAGGTGAAAGATCTTTACAAGGAGAACTATGAATCACTGAGGAAGGAAATTGCAGATGATGGGGAAAAAATGGAAAAACCTATCACGCTCATGGATTGGGAGAATCAACATTGTTAAAATGCCCATGCTACCCAAAGTGATGTACACATTCAATGCAATCTCCATCAATATACCAAGGTGATGTTTTGCAGATCTACAAAAAATATTTTTAAGCTTCATATGGAAGTCGAAAAGAGCTTCAATAGCCAAAGCAACCTTAAGCGAAAGTAATAAATCATGACGTGTCACTTCACCAGACTTCAAGCTCTACTACAATGCTACGGTAACCAAAACAGTATGCTATTGGCACAAAATAGGGACATAGACCAATGTAAGAGAACAGAGAACCCAGATATAAAACCCTCCACACAGACCAATGTAGTAGAACAGTGAACCCACATATAAAACCCTCCACATATACCCATCTGATCTTTGACAAAGCAGCTAATAATACATTGGGGAAAAGAATCCCTATTCCATAAATGGTGCTGGGAAAATTGGACAGCCACATGTAGAAGATTGAAACAGGATCCTTACCTCTCACCACTCACATAAATCAATTCCTGATGGATAACTGATTTGAACCTAAGACATGAAACTATAAGAATGCTAGAAGAAAACGTTGGAAAAACTCATCTAGATATTGGCCTAGACAAAGAATTTAGAAGACGACTCCAACTGCAATCACAGGAAGAATAAAAATAAATGGGACTTGATTAAATGAAAAAACTTCTGCACAGCCAAGGAAACAATCAACAGAGCGAACAGACACCCTACAGAATGGGAGAAAATATTTCCATGCTATCCATCTCATAAATGGCTAATCACTAGGAATTACAAAGAACCCAAGCAAACCAGCAAGAAAAAAATCAACAACCCCATTAAAAAGAGGGCAAAAGACTTGAACAGAGCTTTTAAATAGACAATAGACTAATGGCTAATACACATATGAAAAAATCCTCAACCTCTCTAATTATCAGGGAAATGCAAATCAAAACGACAATGAGATAGCACCTAACTCCAGTGACAATGGCTTTTATCAAAAAGTCCCAAAACAATAGATGTTGGTGTGGATGCAGAGACAAAGGAACACTTATACACTGTTCCTGAGACTGCAAACTAGTACAGCCTCTATGGAAATTAATACGGAGATACCTCAATGAACTAAAAGTAGACTTACCATTTGATCCATCAGTTCCCCTACTGGGTATTTACCCAAAGGAAAAACTGTCCTTTTATAAAAAAAGACACTTGCACTCAGATGTTTATTGCAGCACAATTCACATTCACGAAGAGGTGGAATCAACCCAACTGCATGTTAATTCATGAGTGGATTAATAAAATGGGGTATATTTATACAATAGAGTACTACTGAGCCATAAAAAAAAAGATGACTTAATACACTTTGTAACAACCTGGACTAACTAGAGACCATTCTTCTAAGTCAAACAGCGCAAGAATGAAAAAACAAACACCACAGGTACTCCCTATTACATTAGAACTAAGAGATCAGCACTCAAGTGCAGATATGGAAGTAAAACTCAAAGGAAATCAAGCAGGTCAAAGCGGGGAGAAGGGGATGGGTGAAATCACACGTAATGGATACAACGTGCACTATCTGAGTGACGGACACACTTATAACTTTGACTAAAGCTGTACAAAAGCAATCCACGTAACCAAAACACCTGTACCCTCGGAATATTCTGAAATAATTAGAAAAATAAAATAAAAAAATGGTACAACATAAAAAAATGTAGGAACTTGAATTCTAATGCCTATTAAATACACATATTCAAAAACATAGATTCAATTTTATGCAGTTAAATTTAGATATGTAGGCATTACCAGAAGCCCAATGGAGTTTATTATAATAGATTCTTTCTGTAATAAAATCATTACATGAGAAATGGAAATTATCAGTATCATACATTACTTTAACAAATTTAGATTAGGCCAGTGCAGTGGCTCACATCTGTAATCCTAGCACTTTGGGAGGCCAAGGTGGGAGGACTGCTTAAGGCCAGGAGGTCAAGCCCACACTACGCAACATAGTGAGAACCTCACTCTACCAAAAAATTAAAAATTAGCTAGCTGTGGTGCTGCGCAGCTGTAGTCCCAGCTACTTGGGAGGCTGAGGCAGGAGGACTGCTTAAGCCCAGGAGATGGAGGCTGCAGTGAGCTCTGATCATGCCTCTATACTCCAGCCTAGGCAACAAAGTGAAACCCAGTCTCTTAAAACAAGAAAAAAAAACAACAACAAAAAGAAAAGACGTAAATTTATAAAAAATGTATGACAACACTATGTACCTGAAATAATTATTAGACAGTTAAAAATCAGGCCAAAAAATAAATATGGGGAAAAACTCCTAAGGTTAAGCAACAATACCTCACCAAATATCATGGTCACCAGTAAGCACTGGATGCATTTCCTTTAATTGAGATGGAGAAAAGTGGGCTGGCCAGGGCTCCAGCCAAACACCACTGCCCAGGATATCTATCTCAACAGGGTCTAATAATGAGGAAACAACTGAGGGTTAAAAAAAAAAAAAAAAAAAAGGGAGTGGGGAAGAAAGTAAAGAGCTAGATTTGTTAAAATTAACAGATAACATGATTGCAACCTAGAAAAACAATGCTGTTTAAGTATAAAAACTAATACCAAGATACTGAAAACCACCTTCTTTCTTTAGCAGCTCTCATTAAACAGACACATACACATGGTACATCTGACGTTTCCACTAGCAAATGTTTCATGGCACCTCATGACAAGCTATTTCCAGGCTTATATAAGGAAATTATAAAACTGTATTCATGTGGTGATATCAGTAAGATAGAGGAATAGAAAAGCCCAGACACGGAGACACACACAGATAACAACACACAGATCAACTGTCTGCATGAGAAGTTGAGAAATCACTTAAGAGGTTGGAACCCCTAATGGATGCCTAATAGGAACACTTCAGACACCTTGCCAGAGGCAATACCCTGGCATTATGTGGCAACATTTTGAAGAAACTCCCAACTCCTGGTTTCTCGCAGGGGGCGGGAAAGTATGGGAACATCCATCCAACATTCTGGTTTTCAGGGGACTACTGGAGAGACAAATTTCTATCCTGGGTGAATATAAGCACTGAAAGTAAAAACACACTGGGCATGGGAGCCATTGAAAATAAAGGCCAACAACCTAACGAATCTCTGCAGTAACCCGGGTGAGACACTAGGGGGAGAGCCAGACCACCGTTTGCTAGAGCACCAGCCAGGCTGCAGAGTAGCAGGCAGACAACAGGAGAGCTTCTGAGTAGAAAATGGCTCAAATGGCACAATCTGCTCAGTTAGATTATAAGCAAAAGCCTAGAGAGGACACATCCTCAAAAAAGTCTTGAGAGGTCCCCAGAATCTCTAGTCGGGCTACATGAAGCGTGTGCTCCCTGAATGAAGGGAAACAAAAACCGGAAATAAGTGCCTGATCTGTGAAATGCTCAAGTCCCAACAGAAGACAACGACATATACAACACGCAAAGGAAACATAACCCACACATAGGACTAAATTAAATCACCACCAACTGACACTAAAGAAATGAAGATTTTCTGGAATTAGCATGCAAAGAATTCAAAGTAAGACTCACAAGGACGCTAAATGAATGAAGACAGCACACATGGACTTCAGGACATCAGAAACTCAATGTAATATGAACAAAATGAGATTATCAACACAACTAGAACTACAAGAAACGGAAGAGAAATTCTTGAGCTGAAAAATATAATAATTACTGAATTGAAAAACACACTACTGGGCCTCAAAAGCTGATTTGACCAGCTAGAAGAAATAAACAGCAAACAAAAAAAGGAGCAAAAGAAAAAACAGAATGAAGAAAAATGAAGACAGCCTAAGGGAATTAGGGAACACCGTCACACCCGTCACCTGCATGTCACAGTAAGAAGAAAGAGTGTGAAAGACAACTATGGTCAAGCACATGCCAACAAGTTAGATGAGCTAGAAGAAATTGATCAATCTGTAGAAACACACAAACCTCCTGAGTCAAAAAGAAAAATCTACACACTCCTATAGTAGTAAGGAGATTAATCAAAATCTCCTATGCAAGAGACTAGATACAGATGCAAAATTCATAATCACTGCATAATTCTATCAAACTTTTAATGAAAAATTAACACCAATCCTTCTCATTGCCAAATAACGGAAGAGAACACAAACACATTTCATTCTATGACACCACCATGACTCTGATACAACCCAGGCAAACATATTACAAGAAAACAAAACTATACAATGTTCCTGACGAATACTGATGAAAAAGTCCTCAACAGGTTGAGTGTAGTGGTTCGTGCCTGTACTCCCAGCACTTTGGGAGGCCGAGGAGGAAGGATCTCTTCAGCTCAGGAGTTGGAGAACAGCCTGGACAACATAGCCAGACCCCATCTCAACAAAAAATTTTAAAAATAGCTGGGTGTGGCGGTGCGAACCTGTAGTCCTAGCTACTTAGGAAGAGGAGGCGGAAGGATCACTACACCCAGGAATTCAAGATTACGGAAAGCTAAGATAAAGCCACTGTACTCCAGCCTGGGCCACAGAACAGACTACGTCTCTAAAAAAAAAAAAAGAAAAAGTCTTCAGAAAAATACTAGGAAACCAAATTGTACAGCACGTTAAAAGAATTATAGACCATGATCAAGTGTGATACACACTAGGAAAACAAGGGTGGTTCAGGAAAAGAAAGTCAGTCAATGTAATACACCACACTGACATAGGGAAAGACGGACTAGGAACAGAAGGAAATTTCAGAACATTACATTTGGCAATGATTTCTTGGAGATAACACCAAAAGCATGACCAGAAAAGCAAAAACACACAAATGGGGCTATCTCCAACTGGAAAACTTCTGTCCTTCAAAAGATGCAACAAAAAGAGTAAAATGGTAGGCCTGTGTTCTGTCAAAGCAGAAGCAACGTAACCCTGAACAACAATAAAAAAATGAAACCCTTTTACAAACTACATAGAAACCACTTATGATATATATTATTTGAAACTTTAAATCAATTAAAGTACCTACAATGTATAGCCAAAAATCCAAATGAGTAAGATATACAAACAAAATATTAAACTACTAGATCTAAAAGAATCATACCATTTTGTATCCATGCACTAAGTGAGGTCTTCCAAACCCAGATAAAATACACACACAACAAAAGATGGGGGCTTGAATCACGGAAGAATTTTGTTTCACACTAAAAATCTAGAACTTACAGAAAGACAACCAGGCATACACATGAAGAGTTAAACCACGGACTATAAAATAGCTCTTAATATACAAGAGAAGAAAATGGAACAACATATGAAACCCATCTTATATATACATATCCACAAAGTAATGAAAGCTCGTGAGACTTGTGAGGAATCAGAAAATGTAGCGGAAAAAAGGATTGTCTTTTTGCCCAGATTTAAAACTTGTAAAAAGAACACAGTAGCAAGTTTTGTTTAATGACGGGGAAGTCTCTTGTGTCGTTGGTGGGAGAGGGTACCTCTGCAGCTGAGGTGGAGACGGAATGTTGCCAGATTTAGCAAGGTAGGAAAGGCACCATCCTAGAAGCAATCACTCTTTCAACTGTCCAATCTGGAGGAATCCTCTGACAGCTACAGGGAAGGTGACTTGCTCAGAGGCAGCCACTGTGCCATTCTTTGTAACACTGCGAAAGCTAAAACATCCACCTGTCTTCACTAGCAGAATGCTTCAACAAGGATGTAGCCGTAAATGTCTCCTAACAAAAAACATACACATTTTTGAAGCTTGCAGGTTAAAATGTCATAACAAAGCAATCACTGAAGAACTTGACTGTTTAATCTCATAATGAAGTAGACGTTTCTACAGGACTTGTGCTCTCACCACAAAACTGACAACAGGGATTCCCCACTAACACGGGAGGGAGGGTCGAAGGCCAGACAGGACAGAGGGTGCTCTATGCCTTAGCCCCTAAGCTAAGCAAGTTTGTTTGGAGTTTTACTATAACATAAATATATGTCGTGTGATGTTTCCAATAAAATGGAATATTTAATAATAATTGGTAAAACAAAAATATAGTTCCATCTTCTCTAATGGCAAAGAAGTTATGCTCCCAGGTCCCAAAATTATAACCGTTCTTAGCTAAAACACCTGTTGCACAGGAGGCCCTGCAGGAAGACCACACCATCTGTGCTGTGGACTGTCTGAGAGTGGTTTAATGAAGCTCCTGCTCTTTGACATTTATGTTATAGCAAAAACAGATGATGGAATGAAAGAATCCTCTGTCACTGATGTCTGTGTCTAAACTTTCCACTCCACTCTGTCATTAAGGCTTTGAGTCAGTGACTCACTGATTTAGCCACAAAGGTAATAAAAATGAGTCGGAAAAGATTTCTCCTGATTATTCCCTTTGTAGAGCATTTAGCACCTGTCTGTGCACATTAATCCATGACTTATGGGCAAATTCTCTAATCTTCCTCTACAGACAGCGGACAGTGCATCCGGACATGGGCCCTAAACAGTCCCGGCTGCCCAACAGCACTGACACCACAGGGCCACGCCCATCTCCAACCCACGTCTGGGTGTGAAGCCCTTCCCAGGACCGTGTCCAAAGGAGCCTCTACACAGGGTCACAGCGAGATGGAATCTCAGTGGAGACGACAGGGACTGAGGAAGGCAGGGCTGAGTGTGAGCAAACACAGCAGGCAGGACGCTGCACAGTCAGAGAAGATCAGCAACCCCAGTGCCCGCATGTCAGAAAGGAGGGAGACTCAGAACCAGCCACTGACAGTATCACCTTACCTGAGTAAGATCCATTCCTGACTCCTTTTCTTTCCTCCTCCCCTGCGTCCAGGCTTCTTCCTCACCCAACATGAATCTTTAGAAGTCAATCCTGAAGGTCAAAAATAGGAGGTTTAAAGCTTAGAAACCACACACCCCCTTCCTGTGCTACACCACACACAAAGAAAGATCTCACCCTGCAAAGACGGTCCTCTGCTACCCACTGAACCAGGAGGGATGGGAGGATAAAACACCCCTACAGGAAGCCCAACAAGTGAGTCTTCGTCACCTTTGTGCAGAACGCGCTCCCCTTGTGGTGAAGCCACTCACACGCTGCAGCGGTGGGGCGCTGGGCTGCGCTGGGCTGAGCTCCCCCCAGGGCACAGCTATGGCCCTGACCAAACCCGATGCAGAGCACAGCGCCCTCACCCCTGCATGGATCACAGGCTCATCTCAGCCCATAGAAATAAAAGAAATTCAGCCTTGACACTCAACGCTGGACACAGACTGGAACCACGTGGGACATGGTAAATATTACTGATGAGGGTCCCAACTAGACTCTGTGAATGGGAATCTCTAAGAAGGGGGCACAAGAGCTGTATCTGCAATGCCTCAGCACCCCAATGTGGAGCCACAGGTGAGCTCTGCTCAGAGGGACAGGCCCAGCACACCTCCCTGTGCTCTTGTCCCCTTGGCAACGTGTTGCCACCAGTGTCCAGACAGTGAACGGTGAAGGAACAAAAAGAAACATGCGGAACAGGCAATATGGACCAGTGGAGGGGGTGAGGATGGGGCTGGAATCTTAAGTTGGGGCAAGTGGGAGAAGCCGCCACTGACAAGGGGATGTCAGAACAACGACCTGGGGAAGGAAGGATGTTTCCACCTGCAGGGAAAGGGCCAGAGAGTTCTAGGCAGACAGCCCATGTGGAAGCCCTGAGGCAGGAGCCACCTTAGCCCCAGGAAAGGAAAGAGGCCTGCGAGGCTGGAGCAGAGCGAGCGAGGACACAAACAGGAGATGAGGCCAGAGAGGTCCTGGGGGAGCAGAGCCGGGAGGGCCCAGGGCTGCAAACATTTCTCTCCCACATCTCAAGAGAATTCTGGAAACTATGTATACCCTCACTCGTATCAAGTGAACATGTGATGTTTTCTTTATATGAGAAACTACAACACTTACAAATAATGTAATTATCTTAAATATTTAAAATACATGCTGGTAAGTTCAGCTAAACCCCAGGAAGTACAGGGTCACTCTCACCCAAGATGTGGGGCTAAAGGGGAACCCGTTAGGGGGAGTTCAGAATGTCCCTTTTGGACGCACCAAGGGGGAGATGCCTGTTAGCCCAGCAGAGAGTGGAGGACACAGCTGGACACAGGACTGTGCAGTTCAGGGGAGTCTGCAAGGGAAACCTTGACACGTCAGTGGGGTTTAAACCATGAGACAAGATGAGAAGGAAAGGCAGCGGGTGTGCACTGAGATGAGAAGAGGCCCAAGGACTAAGCTGTGGGTCACTCCACAGTCAGAGAACGGGGAGTTCAGGCCACACAAGAAGAGGAAAGTGTACAGTGATCAGGGAGGCGACAAGAATATTAAAGCAAACAGACTTCTGAAGGTTAGCGGGACACCGTTAAGGCAAGGAGAAAAGAAAGAAGGAGAGACCAGCTCTGCAACGTGTTGTGGACAGGAGAAAAAGAAAACAGGACACTAAATACTGGTTTAGAAATGGGGAGATCACTGGTGACTCTGAGGAAGAAAATAACAGTGGAATCGTGGATGTGACAGCTTGACTGGATGGAATGAAGGGAACTGAAGGCAAGAATTAAAGACAGAAATACGAGCAAATTTTAGCTTTTAAATGGAACACAAAAGAAGGGTGTTTACTAAAGATAAATACGTATCTCATGGACAATTTTTGTTTTAACGATGGAACAATGGGGGGAAAAAAGCCTTATTTGTGTGTGTGTCTTAATGGACAATACCACCATTTGGGTACTTTGATCAAAATAATTCCCTTGAAGTAAATATTGGTGACATCGTGGAGGAAGGACGCCACACCATCCTGAGACTGCTAGCGTGGCTGGCAAGGGGGACACAATCTCAGGGCCAGCAAGAGCCAAGAGCAGGGACAGACCATCCCCAGTCTCTACTGAGCAGAGACCACAGGCCCTGAGGCACGGGGCTGGGCCGGTGGGAGATCTCTGCTCTTGCTTCCAGGGGCTCAAAGCAGGAAAAACAAAGGTCTTGTAGGAAAAAGATAAAAGAGGACTTGGGCTGCTGAGGGATCAAGAGGAAAGGTGTGGAACAGACCAATAGCGAAATGCAAGCAGAGGTCAGCAGGAAATTGATGTGAGATAAGTCAATCTGGGCGAATGTTTTCTCCGGGCTGTAATCAGCCGCAGGGACAGAAACAGAGTAGGCAGAGCTGGGTGAGGTGGTGACGTCAGGTGGAAGTAGGGAGTCCCAGGGGAATGATGACATCAGTCCTTTGCACAGGGGCATTAGTCTTATTTGACTGTTAGCAATTCAATAGCCCAGTCTGGGCATGATATAGCAAGACCTTGTCTCTTAAACTAGAGGAGCATATTCTGTTGGATTACCATTTTAATCCGTGTCGCAGACAACAAAGCCAGGCTCCACATGTAGTGAGTAAATGAATCAACGGGAACAACACACAGTCGTACTGGTCCACCCTCTGGCACAACCTTCACTTTGAGGAGCCGGGATGTTGTCCTGAGGACTATGGGAGGCCAGGGGAGGGTTCAATGCCAGAGATGGACATGACCTGCTTTTAGATTTCGCTATGATAGCTCTAAAGCACAGAAACA